GGGTGATGCTCATCTAAGAACTCTTCAAGACTCCAGCATGACTAAGAAAAATGTTTGAAAACAAATTGCAATCAAATTCTATAATATATTTAAAAGAACATTTAAAGTAAATAAAACATTCAAGAAATCTAAACTCACCTTTTGAAAATCTACATGATGATCCACAACTTGACTCTCCCAGCTGGTTGAGGTGACAGGATATGGAAAAGTAGAAAAAACACATACATCACTGTTGGATCTCCAAAAACAATTAGGTTAACCACTATGACTAGAACTGGAAAAACAGGCAGCTGTCTGTCCAGAATCTTGAATTTAACACAACACTTGGAGCAAAATTTAGAGGAGCTTAAAATCTTTTATATCATTTAGTGATGCTGACTTCCCCAAAATATTTGCCACAGTGTAAAAAATATTCATAAACTTACAGTTTTATGTAAGTGTGTGCCTGCGTGTGTGTGTGTGTGCGTGCACGTTTCTTTACCAGATTCAACTTGTTAGGCCCTTTCAGGTCCAGTATTGACGCCACCTTTCCTGGAGTCTAGCAGATGTTTCAGGTCCAAATATAATCTAAAATATTAGGATAAGCAGAAAAGAAAAAGTGCAAAGCAAAGAGCAAAACATTATTTAAGTAATAGTTCACCCACAATACAAAACTTATCACCTTCGTGTCATTTGTTATTCTTGAATGCTCTAATACCCTCTCAGCTTATTGTGAAACAAATACAGACTTTTATCAAACATACCTTCATTATTATCACCACATATGACCAAGAAGGTGTGCTTGGTCATTTCACCAACTCTGGAAATACACCATCCGTCTCTAATCAGCCACCGGCACAGGGTCTTGTGTTATTGTATAGAGAACTGTGGCTGTTAAAAAACAACAAAACATTAGTATCTAACACATATGCATAACCTTCAGATAAAAAAGAGAGATGAACATCACAAAGTATGCCTCACACTTTTTCAGATATCTTTTGATTCAGATGTTGATTATTGATAATAAATCTACAAATCAAACCTGTATCATCATTAGGCTGCTCAAATATGAATCAGTTGATTAATTTTACAGACAGGTGGCTGTTTACAACGCACTAAATTGTCTTTAATAAAACGGAAATGTTGTGTACATGCTAGGTTTAGTCTATAAGCACAATATCATGCGGGAGAAAAAGTTTGACTAAGATGTTCCTGACTACAGAAATAGCCTAACTTACTAACGTCGACATCCCGAGTTGGCAAAAGTCATTTTCGGGGGATACAGAGTTGATTTGCGGGAGGTAGCGGGAGAGATGAGAACCTGAAGAGCAATGGGATGAGTTGCGCGCGACGTACCTAAAGAGCGGTGGGGGTGACTTGCGCGCGACGTACTTGAAGAGCTGGGAGGGATGCGGTGGAGAGGGGTGTGCAAAGTGTTTAATGACCGGGCGGGAGACGCGCGATTTCCGGGAGATTATCATTCATTTGCGGGCATCTACTTGGGCATCTGGGAGTCTCTGTGCATTTGCGGGATAACGTTAACGTTAGTCCCGCAACTTCCGGGAGACTTCTGTAACGTTAAATGTCCGAGAAAGTGCAAACGCGGTCATTTAAAGACATTAATGTTAACATTCCGACTTTAATGGTTGTCAACACTTAATATAATTCAAGCGTACGTTATCACACGAGTCTATGGACTAACAGTATATGGACGGCCACGAATCAACCAGTTTAAAAGGGCCGCGGTGTTTAAAATAACCAAATTAACGTACACGAATAACAAACAATCATATGTTTTAGTCAGGAAGCCTTTTACAAGTAAGCATGTGTTGATTTACTCACCAGATATGTTTTAGAAACTCTCCAGAGCTTATGGAAACCGTCCTGTGTTGCCGTTAGCATCCGGGCAGAGTAAGTTAGGCTGTTAGGCGGCTCTGGGGATTCCCTCGCTAGTTTGCTTCAAATTAAAGGAGAAGTGTCGATTTTATTTTATAGATGGGAAACAAAGCACAAAATGGCATTAAGCGTGACAGAAATGTGTTGAACATGTACATTTGATGTTTTTATGCACTTTGTATGCGTGAGCATATATAAAAACATTCTTGAAAAGACGTGAATAGTAATGCAGTTAAGCTAGATACACAAACGACCATGAATGAACCGCAGAAGTTTTAAATTGTCACTCCATTCTAAAGTTATTAACTTAACAATATGTTTACAACTGTATTTCCTTAAAGAAAGTCAGTAAAATACCAACATTTAGGTAGTTTGACTCACCAGTTGCTGTTCTAAACCTCAGATGGAAAATGGCGTCTGGAAAATTCTTCAGTGACTGGGGCTGCATGAATTCCCGGATGTTGGAAATAACACCACCAAGTGTAGAAAAGATAACTCCTTGATTTCTCACTGAATAAAATCAATTCTAACTCTAATTATATTCATTTGTCAAAATCTAACTCTTTAACGTCAACACTTCACTCTGAAATGCTTCAACACCGAGAATTTAACTCTGATGAATTTGCTGTGCATACTGAATGTAACCCCAAACCATGATTTTTTTCCTTCACCAAACTCGACTGATTTCTCTGAGAATCTTGGGTCCATGTGGGTTCCAGTAGGTCTTCTGCAGTATTTGATTGGGATGCAGTTCAACAGACGATTCATCAGAAAAATCTACCTTTTGACACTTTTCCAAATAATCATCTAGAAGTCAAGTTATTATTTCTTGCTCTTACAACTGGGATCGATGACAAGACTTTTGTCAGGTAGTATATATGCCACACAAAAAACAACATTGTAGATATTTATAGTAAATATCATAGTTTTTGAAGCGTACTACAGTAAAGTGTATTATACTGTATACATTACAGTATTTACAACTATTTGTTATTGAATGCCAAGCAAACTGTGGTATTAACTATAGTGAACTAATAAGCTGTAATAAATACTGTAGTGTACTTTATTGTGGTGCATTGTAGAAATCTACAGTATTGGGTAATTTGTTTATATTGTTATAGTTGTGTTACCATAGCAAAAAAAAAATCAACACAACAGATTAATTAAACTTTACCATAGTGTATGGTTCAAAAACAGTATAGTATTTACATGTATACACATTATACTATAGTATTTACACACACACACACAATATTTTTTTTTTTTCAACACACTGTTACCAGATGGTTTTGTTTAGGGAATTTGCATCAGCTTAAACTGCAGATGATTATAATGATTTATGTTTACTTGCTCAATTTGTGAGGTGGATCCCAAATGCTTGACTATTCACACATGCTGTGTCACTCTGTCAGCGCATATGCATACAAACATGCAGGGTTAAAGGTATAGTTCACCCAAAATGTGTAATTTGCCATTCATTTACCCATGTTCAGGCCATTAGATTTACAGTAGGTGGCATTTACTCTTTAACAAAATACTCACAGGAATCAGTCAAGTTTGGTAAAGGAAAAATCATGGTTTGGGGTTGCATTCATTATGGGGGTGTACGAGAGATCTGCAGATCTGATGGCAACATCGACAGCCTGAGGTATCAAGACATTTGTGCAGCCCATTACAAACCACAGGAGAGGGCAAATTCTTCAGCAGGATAGCGCTCCTCATACTTCAGCCTCCACATCAAAGTTCCTGAAAGCAAAGAAGGTCAAGGTGCTCCAGGATTGGCCAGCCCAGTCACCAGATATGAACATTATTGAGCATGTCTGGGGTAGATGGAGGAGGCATTGAAGATGAACCCAAAGAATCTTGACTTTATATTCTATACTGTACATTATTTCTGTTTTGACTAAGCAGAGTCAGACCTTGCTGTCCTAATTAAATAATTAGAAAAAATATTAGAAAATAATTAGAAAACAAATCAAGATCATATTTATTTTGGTAAAATAAGCGTAATCTAGAGGCCTTTGCCTTTCATATAAGTAATTTCTGATACCAAAGGATCAACTAGAAGTCAAGTTATTATATGTTGTTCCTAAAACTTCGACAAGACCCTTGTCAGGTAGTGTAGATGCTGGTGGTTCTACTGAAGAAACAAGTAACATACATCTTGAAAGAAGGAACGTTTTCGGGGGTAAACTATCCCTTTAAGGGTTGAAACAAGCCCTGAAAAAAGTCCAAATAGGGGGATGTTAACATCTTCCATAAAGAGAAAGCGTCAAAGGCCTGAACTTTAGGAAACTTAGCGGACCCGAGGAAAAGAGATATTAATAACTCCTTCAAGCCCATCCCACCACATTCTTCACCACTGAGTCACACTGTAAACCAGCTAGCATTGGAGCGATGGGTGGATTGCCTCTGTTTCTCATTTGGGTTGCTTTCTGTGGTGAAGTTAAGGAAAGAAACTAGGAGATACCCTTCCTCTCTTTCTTCATAAACCTGAACGGTTATTATACACACACACAATGCTCTCACCGGTTGTGGGATTGTATGAGGGTAAACATAGGCATGTGAGAAAAGTCATAACGGAGCCTCTGGAATGATGCATAGCTGGAAAATACAAGCGAAGAGAGGAACGGGCGCTGGAAGATGGAAAATGGTGGTATGGGGTTTTGGCAGGGAGTTCTGTGACTCACTGTTTATCTGGCCTGTCACTGAGCAACTGTACAGCATATGTGTTCACAAGACTGCAGTCTTTCCAGCCTTCTAGTGTGCCTTTATTCCCAAAAACTCAAGATTTATGTAAGGCTCTTTTCAAAGAAACAACAAGCTTTGAAGGCTTTTGAATAGGCTTTGAAATATCTTAAAGTTTAGACAAATGAGGGATTTTTTTGACCCTGTATGCCAAATCCTGAAACATTTTTAAATATAAAACACCTTGATTTGTAATTTATTTAGCAATACAAATATACAAAATTCAAACATTCAATAAAAAAAAGAGAAGAAAAAAGCACATTATTTGCATAATACTATGTCAACTATGTTTGGGACAGTTCTTGTTTCTTCAAAGTTTAAGCTGATCTTTTAACCATTTCTTTTTGGAAGGAACAAAAAACATTTCAAACCATACATACAAGTCAAAAAGTCTTTATTTAGCTCAATACATTTACTGTGAAAACATTGGTTAACTGAAGCAGTCAGTGGAACTGTTTACAGTAGTCAAAAGAAATTTCCACATTTTTGCTTTGACGTTTAATATTTAATTCATATATATTTGTGACATTCGTTCATAGTATGCATAGAGCTCATTCAATACAAAAAAGACAAAAAATAATAAAACTGATCACATATAAAGCACATTTCCTTTTTAATTGTAAAGGCAAAGGCAGCATCGTGCTAGTAAACTGATTTCCACGTTAGAAAAACAAAGTCTCAGAAAGGTTTTCACTTGCCTTCTCAGGTCTGCGGTCGTAGAAGATTCAGAGTTTTGAGTGCTTGCTTTGGTTTCACATTCTGATTTGAGTTGTAGACACCAGTAAAAGCCATAAGAAAAAGTGCGTGAAGCCAAGTCTACATATTTCTACGCTAAATGACAAAAATAAACGTGTCATCTTCAAAACTTTGCTTGCTATCCCATAGTTCTAGAGCCATTGGATGTATGAATTGAGTTATATGCGTAGCATTGCTGGACGTGATGCTGTATGACTTTACCGTCGAGAATAAAAATGGTGACAGATGCAACATTCCTTCCAAATGACTGAGACCATTCTTTGGTTTATCGCAACGCTCTTTGGCTTCCAGCTGGGAATCTTTGAATTGTTGCAACTGAACCAAGAATACAAAGAAAGACATTAATTATGTGTTACAAAAATACAAAAACGGCACCTAAATACAGTGAACGGGAATGCACAGCAGCTGATTTAGAGCTGGACAGCATGCGGAAGACTGCACAAGGCATTGTGGGTGCAATTGTCTAAGCATCAGAGCCTTTTTGCCGACGCTTGGATGGTGGCACGAGACGGGCAGGGAGCTCAGGGGGCAGCCCATGACCATCCAGTTTCACTTCAATCAGATGGCTGGCCAGGGCAAACTCCTCATCATCCAGCATGCCGTCACGATCCACATCCGAGAGCTTCCAGATACGACCCAAAACAGAGTTGGGGAGCCTTGTGCTCACCATCCAATCTTTGGCTTTGGTGCCACTCAGTTTGCCTTCATTCGGTGCGAGGTTGTAGAAGATCTCATCATACTTGGGCTTGTCTTTTGTCACCACCCATTCCTCATCTTCTTCACCCACTTCGCCATTTTCATTCGCAACCTCTCCAAAGGGGTCACCTTCCACAAAGGGTCCGGCACGGGTTCCCAAGAAAGCTCCACCTTGGACACCTGGTTGAACCCCAGCCTCTATTTCTTCCTGCCTAAGAAGGGGCATCAGTTTGGCAATGTCACTGGACAACAGCTCATCCAGCATATTCATAAGGTTGGGCTTCAGGGCTTTAAACTTGGTGAAGTCATGTGCCATTAGTTGCTCCTAAGGAAAGTCAAGCATTACTTTGTCAAACAAGTAGTTTTTTAACCTCAAGAAAAGGAATCGGGTGGTTGCACTAACCTGCATCTTGGCACAATCCGGGAAGTCTCCAGGAGAGATGTGATGTTGTAGTTGGATCTTGGAGAAGATGACCGGGAGCTGGTAGATCAGGTTCTTCTTTTTATTGTCTTTTCTGAAGACCGATGGCATCTCTTGTTTCAAGTAACTGATAATATGGGCATGTACCTGTGATTAAAACGCAGATTAGTGATGCTTCCCATGAGTGAGTTGCCATATAGCTTGCAAAGCATTCAGACGAAATGCTACAACGTATGTACTACCCCTCGTGTCATTCCAGATTTCGAAAGGGTACAGAATAGAACTACATCCCATTGACTTTCATTATACAGACACATTAAAGACTAAAGTGTCATTGGTGCTTCCTAAGATAAAGGCATGCAGGTTTGGAATGACATGGGTGAGTAATTAATGACCATCCCTGTAAGTGTATCTTCTGACATTACAGATCCAAAAAAATATGATTTATTCATATATTAGCATACCCTCACAAGACGGGCCCTCTTGACCAAGTCATTAAGTTTGCGTAGGGCTGCATTACGTGGCAGATTCTGGATATCAGCAAACAAATCTTCCTCCTCCAATTCGAACAGCTTGCGGTTGTCGGTCACCATGAGAGGTTCAGACCAGAAGGAACCGATGTACACTCTCAGAACCTCAGGAGTACCAAACACTTTCCCCAGGGACCACATTAAAGCTCCGTACACCCGCATGAGCTGCTGGGTATCAACCATATCAGCCTTGTTCAGCACAACACGCAGTTTGTCTTCATTGCCTTTGAGAGCTCCGATAGCCTCTGAGAATTCATCTGAGATCTCTAACTTGTGGGCATCAAAGAGAAGGATGATTCGGTCCACACGCTCAGCAAACCAGCGGAGAACTGCTGGGAAATCATATCCTACAATATGAAAAAAATGGAAGAAGTAAATCAACTAAAAATGACTAACAACACTAGCGTGCAACAGTGACCACACTAATTTTCTCTCAAAATGCTCTTCTCTAAAGGGCTTGTGGTGATGCAACCCATCAGCTCTGAACTGATTTGAAGGATGAAAGAATTTGAAATCTGGGAAAAAAGTAAAAGACTGTAAGGGAATGAACTATGATCCCACGAGACACTGACAATGAAAGAAACAAAACCACAGAACAATATCCAATACAGTACCACTGGCTACAGGTGTACAATTACGATATTTGTGAGTTTATGAATACAAATATATGTGTATTATTAGATTTGATAATATCATCTTCTCTGGTTGATGGGTCTCTTTTCATAATAAATTCACAATGGGTTGTGGATTCTAGAGTATGGTCTAAGATCCACTAGATCAGGGGTACTCAACCCTGTTCCTGGAGATCTACCTTCCTGCAGATTTCAGCAGGTCCTCAAGGGTCACCATACATCAGAGTTCAGCTTAATCTCTAATCAAAAAGAACTGCCTGTAATTTTCATGAAACCTTGAAAACAGGTTATATTTTTCACGTGTAGTTAATAAGGGATTGACCTGAACTCTGCATGTCCCAGCACAACCCCATTTGCCCATCCCTTGTACAGGAAAAGAGTTGCCTATGCCTGGTTTGTATGTTATTGCTATTTTTTCTATGGCAGGGGAACCAAACTTTCTCAATCTCTTTCCTATAACTACACTTTTAACCTGGCTTCAAAATACCTTGCTGTTTTCTTTGAAATAAACGCAAGAGCAAGAAGGGACCCTACTTGCTCTTGGGAAGACCAAAAAGGCACTCAGTGCACTGGAAGGAATGCTGTTTTGTTTATGTTTTACTTGATAAATCCCTCAGACAAATTAGATTTTCAACTTCTTCAAGCTTTGAAACTTGAACACTGTTATGATTGTGCTTTAAATGCCATGTCGTTGTCAGCCATGCAAGTTCATTCGGTGTGCAAACTCTCACGGTGCATTTTGGGCATTGTCTAGCTGTTGAGTGTACATGGGTTGTACACCTTTTATTGCTGTGCATTGTGGGATTGATTAGGTGCACTTCATTTTGTCCACTATGTTTTCAAACACCACTAGAAATGGCTGCTCCCTCAAATAGTGCACTGTAGTACAGAGGTGGACAACTGTGGTCCTGAAGGGTCACCACACATCAGAGTTTAGCTTTATCTCTATTCAAAAAGAACTGCCTGTAATTTTCATGACCCCTTGAAAACAGGCTATATTTTTCATGTGTAGTTAATAAGGGATTGACCCGAACTCTGCAGTGTTTGAATAGTGCACTATTTGAGGTAATAGAGAGCAATTTTGCATACAGCCTTCCTCCCAGAGTCCAGACTTTTGTTCCACAATGCCACTTTGACTATAAAAGGAGATTACTGCTGTCGAATTTGTCTAAGTGGGATCAGCTGAAGACATATAGTAAATACAAGGGGGTACACTATACACTACATGCACACTTTTGAAAGCTAAAATCACAAGTGGGATGCCCTGGGGTGTCAAACGGACACCAGTTCCTGGAGGGCCATTGCTCTGCAGAGTTTAGCTCCAGCTCAAACCTGCTTACTTGTTTCTAGTAGTTTCAAACACCTTGATTAGTTGGATCAGGTGTGTTTGGTTTGGAGAAAAACTGTGCAGAGCTGTGGCTTTCCGGAAATCAAGTTTGAGACCCATGTTCGAGGTGATGATGTTGAAATATTTTGTGAACAATAAACTGTATGCTAAAACTGTTTGACAACAGTTGAATCCTCAAATCCTCCTACACCCCCCTAACATTCCTCTGCATTCCTTCCCTTTCCTCTCCCTGTCACACCTTAATGGCTCACTTTCCCATTCAGTGCGTCACTTCAACTGCTTTTGGGCAGGAAAAAAAAAGAGAAAAAGCAGACATCGCACAGACGCGTGCAACACTGATAAGCTAGGATTACCCAACAATTTTCTCAGTGGGAGAGCCTAGATCATCTGATTTTTTGTTTACCTCTGATCAATATTACGTGTAGTATTTACATGGACTCAAATTAGTACCCAATACCAACAGGTTCTCTGAGGGTCTAGATGGGGTTTTCACACTGGGTGTAAAGATAATTGTCGCATATTGTGAGTTTAGAAATTGTACATGGGACTAATAATCATTCTCAGCCCAAAATTGAGACATTGTTGACTATTATTTGACATTTTTCAAAGCCCCTTTCCTTATTTTTCAGCCAGACTTACCTCGACTCACTCTCTGTTTGGCCCCAGACAGGATTCCTGGGGTGTCAATAATGCTGATGCTCTCCAGGACCTGGTTGGGTAGCTGAGCGCACTGGAATCTGTCAGAGATAGAGATTTTCAATTGAACTTAGCACTGAAAATGTTCTTCCGGCCTGAATGGGTAAGTACAGCCTCAAGCTCATACAGAACGTTCTGTTGCATATTTGCATATATTCTTATATCTACAGCTCATTAATATCAAATGGTGTAGCCTGTGAATCTGAGGGAATTCAATACAATAACTAAAATACAGGTGTCTAAAAGTCTCATCTATGTCTTGTGTACTAAACCAATGTGACATGATGCCTTAAATGTCACAAACATGCAAGGTCTCTTAAGTTGAAATCCCTTTCCTCCTGAGAAAAGCTGCATAAAATGTCCATTACTCCTATGACAGCTGTTGTGTGTGATCTAAGAAGCAGACTTCTAGCGTCACTCCTCCCAGGCTGGTCCATTGTGTGGAAGTGGTGCTCGAAACACACAGTGCTTCCTGAAGGAAAATGACCTGCGCTGCCAAAATCAAACAATACTTGCCACTAATGATCTGAGGCATAGAAAAACATCGTCTCTTCCTGCTTTAAATGAGTTTAACGAGTGGACTGCTTCCCTGGGCAGGAAGTTGGAGAAAAGAAGTTCTCAAAACATGCTTGCGAAAATACACCCGAAGAGACCAATGGAAAACTCAATCTGATTAAAAGATGATAAGATAAGAGCAGCGCCCCCTCTGGTGTTGACAGACAACTGCGAGCTAATTATGTTGAGAAACTCTTGGCAAGGTTAATGAGAAGACTGAGGTATTCGGATGACCTGAACTTCAGCTTAGTTTCCTCCCACTGTTTGGCTACTGCCTGGTATTTCAATATGAGACGTTGCTCTATCTACCACATCATTCAAATTAGCAATAGTTGCTAAAGCAAGTTTCACTGGCAGTATTGTTCATACGGGGAGTCAGACGTTCATGCTAAATATTAGGGTAGGTGCTCTTTTTATCTCCACATTGATGATGACAAAAACTCTCTTAGGTCAAATATGGACAAAATAAACGTTTACTTGATAGTTACATCACATAATATCGAAGAAATGTTACATTCAGACACATTACTCTATATCCCATTAAAAATGATGTTCTTTAACAAATGAGATCTCTCTCTGTAACCTCTGGTGAACTCAGGCTATGCTAAATCATCAGCTCTGCTTCAGGCACATTAGCGCTCATTGCCCTCTCTTGTGATATCTCTCCCTTCCACAAGTTTTCCACAAATAAGGAAAGTCCCTCCTCTCTTAGAAATTTGGCACGGACGCTTGAGATTCCGTAGAGTAAAAACGAACACACAGTTTCTCTGTTATCTTCTCTGCGTGCCCAGTGTAAGCAGACGGGTCAGCGGACACATTCTTTCACAAAACCCACCCTCATTTCTCATGTACGTACATCGCGGCTGGGTGTAACATCTGCTTGAATAAATCCAGTCACCTGTTGAGGAAGGTGTTTCCGAAGGGGTTGAGTTTGCGGAAGGGCTTGTTGGGATCCACGATGAGGGCATTTCCGGGAATGAGCCCCTCTACGTCTCCGTGCATGATAGCGGTGAAGCAGTCGGTGGTGGGCTCAGGCCCTATGCGGCTCCCAGGGACGTCCTGTTCAAGCAGATACCTGTGTTGACAGAACATGGTTACCCTGCTGACAAGACAGGCTTTAATAACCTTGTGTTTTTTTTATGTCTGCTAAAATAAACAAAACACAGTGTAACTTTCCATTCAGTAAATTGTATAAAATCAACTCAAATGAATGATATTATATATACTGAATATGAATGTAAGTACACATGAAACCAAAACCCTGTTTCCAGCTGGTATTAAAGTCAGCATGGAATCAAAATTACTCTTCTTATTTTTAGATGTATATAGTAGTGCTTATAAACGATATATTTGTGCACTTCATTATTTTGTAAAAAATCAGTCACAATCATAATCTTTAATCAAATCCTTCCTTCCCCCCTCAAAATGAATTTTATTTACTTCTAGTCACATGGAATGCCTTTAGTGCAGGCCTATCAGACCTTTAAGGTGGGATAATCTATCCTTTAGGGCGGGGCTATCTCTTCTTTAGGGTGAGGCTATTAGTCCTTTAGGGCGGGACTATCTCTCCTATAGGGAGGGTTATCTCTCCTTTAGAGAAGGACTATCTCTCCTTTAGGGCGGAAATATCTCTCCTTTAGGGCGGTGCTGTCTCTTCTTTAGGGTGAGGCTATTAGTCCTTTAGGGTGGAGCTATTTCTCCTTTAGGGAAGAAAAATCTGTTCTTTAGAGCGGGACTATCTCTCCTTTAGTGAAGGACTATCTGTTCTTTAGGGCGGGGCTATCTCTTCTTTAGGGCGGTGCTGTCTCTTCTTTAGGGTGAGGCTAATAGTCCTTTGGGGTGGGGCTATCTCTCCTTTAGGGAAGATCTATCTGTCGTTTTGGGTGGGACTATCTGTTCTTTAGGGCGGGGTTATCTCTCCGTTAGGGTGGGATTATCTCTCCTTTAGGGCGGGACTAACTCTCCTATAAGGTGGGGCTGTCAGTCCTTTAGGGTAGGACTATCTCTCCTTTAGGGTGGGGCTGTCAGTCCTTTAGGGCGGGATTATCTCTCTTTTAGGGTGAGGCTGTCAGTCCTTTAGGGCGGGACTATCTCCTTTAGGGTGGGGCTGTCAGTCCTTTAGGGCGGGACTATCTCCTTTAGGGTGGGGCTGTCAGTCCTTTAGGGCGGTACTATCTCTACTTTAGGGTAAGGCTATCAATCCTTTAGGGTGGGACTATCTGTCTTTTAGGGTGAGGCTAACTGTTCTTTAGGGTGGAACTATCTCTCCTTTAGGGCAGGGCTATCTCTCCTTTAGGTAAATGCTATCAGTCCTTTAGGGCAGGACTATCAGTCATTTGAGATGGGACTATCTCTCTTTTACAGTAAAGATATCAGTTCTTTAGGGTGGGACTATTTCTCCTTTAGGGTGGTGCTATCAGGCCTTTGGTCAGGACTATTTTTCCTTTAGGGCGGAGTTATCAGTCCTTTAGAGCGGGACAATCTTTCTTTTAGGGTGGAGCTATCAGTCCGATGGGTGGGACTATCTGTCCGTTAGGGCAGGACTATTTTTCCTTTAAGACCTATTAGTGTGTCTTATTTCTGCCCTATTCCCAGGAGGCAGGGGTTCAAAAAGAATTTGATGCAATTCTGTCTGTAAAACTCAGCTCCTCTTTGTCATCATTGAACATCTGAAAACATTCTACATCAGAGGATGTCGGCGGGGATTTCTTTGGCAACCGTCTAAATCTGATGTACATCATGATGGGGGGAAAAGGACAAAATTAACTTCTGTTTCATGCCAACTTTAACAGGGTGCCTCTGACTGAGGGCCCTGATCAGAGATGGAGCCCTCCGCATAATCAATAATAGTGGATAACCTGAGTATTATCATGCATTTTCAATAATCAGTTCATACGTTGTCAGGGTAGACACTTCAGCATTCTCCCTTTGTAGAAATCTCTATCTTCTGCCTTGGCAGAATTGGAGTTTAGGTTTTGTTGGTGGTCCTCACCGTTGGTCACTGCCTTGCCCTCTGGGTACAACCCTGCCATGCATTAAAACCTTAGTGGTGGCCCATTTCAAAGGCCTCATCTTTTAGTCTGATTGCGTCATTGCAGCATGAAGAAGGCTTAATTCCAAGACCTTGTCAAATGCATCTTTTTTTTGGTGCCTTATGAAGAATGCAACTGATCATCACTATTCATTGTGTGCTGAATAAAACTTAGATGTCTAGCCGTACAATTACTGTCATACGAGACCCTATTTTATAGACAGATACTATTTTTGAATGAGAAGAAAGGGGAAATACATTAAGGTAGCTTGTGCACACTGTTTTGTTTAAGTCCATGCACTTCGAAGTATAAATCCTTGGAATTGGGACACAGCTCTTATTCTTGTGACGTTTCTCACAGCATAGCCAGAGAGATATTTTTTTAGATGTTTGAATGCACCATAAATAAATAAAAAATCTCTGGACGTGAGAAAAAACAAGCTCAAAACACTTTACATCTTATCTTAATACCAGGTCTTGACATCTGATGATCATGAAATCTGGCTATGGTTGTAAATTCCAAGCTCTTTAACCACTATTTAAATATTTAGCTCATTTTAAAATTTACTTTAGAGTCCTTCAAGAGATAGTTCACCCAAAAATTAACATTCTATCATCATTTACTCACCCTTTACTTGTTTTAGAGGTTAATGAGTTTCTTTCTTTTGTCATAAGAAGATGTTAAAAAATGTTGTAAACTTGTGACCATTACCTTATGGAAGTCAGTCGCTATGTTTCCATCCAAAAATGCCATTTTGCATTATCATCCAAAGATTTATTCTCAAAACTGGAATATTGAGACCACTCTTTGGACACACAGATGCTCAAGACAGATCTGGAGGTAATAATACTAAACCACTATGATGACGGACATTGGAACTTATTCAGTAAATGGATTTCTATCATAGTTTATGTACATTTTTCCTTATCAGATCCTACTCAGTTTTGATGCGCATTTTCCAAATGTATGCCTATCTAAACATTTCCATTAATAATTTTCAATGTATGCAAAATGTGCATACAATTAGAGTAGAAAGAAACTCTTTAGGGTTTGCAACCACTTGAGGGTGGGTATTTTCATTTATGGGTGAACTATCCCTTTAAAAGTTGTGGTGAAATGTCGTCTTACTTGATGAAGGTGGTCTTTCCCGTGGAGTACTGCCCAACGACCAGCACCATGGGTTTGTTGTCAAAGTCGGCGTCCTCCAGACTCGGTGAGTGGAAGTCATGGAAGCCGTAATACTGCTCCAGAGGCAGGAGCTTTTTTCGGTAGAGTGACTTCAGGCCCTCGGTCACTGTCCTGATCACCTCGGGGGCCTTCTTGACATTCTTACGTCCCCAGCGTGACATCGTGCAATTTGCGAGAGTACTCAGAGTTTCCTTTGCAGGGAGTTAATTTATGGCTTGTTTACGTGTCCTCTGGGGTAACTGTGAAGGCTCTTCTCTTGCTTACGGTGTTTTTTATAATGTTTCCAAATGTTCTGCCTTGATGGTTTAAAGGTTTGGAGTAACTAAGGGATGTTTGGAGTTATAAAGTAAACTATTGTATGTAACCCTCAGCTTTTGGCTTTGGGAAGTATATTTATGCCTGAAAAGAAGAAAGAAAAGAGAACATTAAAACAACTTTATGACTGATCCTGTATTTTCTCACATTTTAAACAAAAATTTTGCTGCTTGTTCAAACTACTTATTTAATATGAGTTGAACAATTCTGAAGTTTTTTTTTTCTTTATTTGTGTTCAGTTCACTTAAAGGGCACCTATGATGAAAATCATCTTTTGTAAGCTGTTTGGGCAGGTCTGCGTGTAGGTATAGTGTGTCCACGGCCATATTGGAGTGATATAAACACAAAAAGTCTCTTTTTTTATTTGCTGATGTTAGCCTCTTCCCTCCTATTTTGAGGACGACGTGATGTAGGAGTGCGGTTTCCCCGCCCATCGAATTGATTGACAGCCGCATATTAACATGTCTCCCTAGTAATGCATATAATCAAATCAACAAGACAGGACGTGCACAAAGCAATCAGGAATAAAAGATCTGTTCTGCACTCTGTGATCATCAGTCATCATCAAATGTGATCAAGAATGAGTTTAAAACGTTTGTAAAACAGTGCATGTTTGTAATGAAGTACTGCAATTTTACAGTCTTTACTTTATCACCACTATAAAAGAAGATGCTTGGTTTGGGGACGTTAAGTCAGGTTTATTTTGTACATTAATATAACGGATATCAATACAACCGTAGGTATTAATGTATATATATATATATATTAACTTGCAAAAACAGTGAAAGTGTTTGTGTGTGTGTGTGTGTGTGTGTATGTGTGTGTGTGTGTGAACTTTGCAACCACATTGTGTGTGACTCATCGTTGCAGAAAGGCTTGAATGGAACTCCACAACAAATACATCAAATAATCATTGGGAAAGTTCTTACTGTCGTATTTCTCATAAACGTTACATGAGATCTGCTTCCTTCATGTCTGTCACTGTGCTTTTTATCTAACACAGCAAAGGCAGAGATTAAGGATGTCGGGGTTAAAGCCCTACTCTTTTTCGAAGGACATTTTGGGATTTTTAATGACCATAGAGACTCAGGACCTCAGTATAACATCTCATCAGAAAGACGGCGCTCGCTGAGCAGTATAGAGCACCCTTCACTATACTGGAGCGTTATGACTCAAAGACCACAGGTTGAGCACCCCCTGCTGGTCTCACTAACACCACTTCTAGTCCTAGAAAAATAATCTTACGTAAATCATTTCTAGACAAGTCTATTTCTGTTTTGTTTACAGAAATAAGTGAAAAAATAAGTAAGTTTATTCTTAAAACAAGCATAAAAGCTCAAAAAATGGCTGCTTGTTTAAACTTATTTAAAATGAGATGAAATTAATTAATTTTCCTTCGTCCTAGTCCCTTATTTATCAAGGGTCATCACAGCGGAATCAACCGCCAACTATTTCAGCACATGTTTTATGCAGCGCAAACCCTTCCAGCTGCAACTCAGTACTGGAAAACACCCATACACACTCATTCACACTCATACACTATGGCCAATTCCGTTCATCCAATTCACCTATACAGCATGTTTTTGGACTGTGGGGGAAACCGAGCACCCGAAGGAAACCTACGCTAATACAGGGAGAACATGCAAACTCCACACAGAAACGCCAACTGATCCAGCTGGGACTCAAACCAGTGACCTTTTTGCTGTGAGGCGACAGTGCTCACCACTGAGCCATCGTGTGGCACCTTGAAACAACTTAATTTTTTTTTTTGAGGGACAACTTAATTATTTTATGTTCAATCCACTTAAATTGTTTTACTAATCCAGAAAATGCTTTTTGATTTAAGACTTTTTTGATATTTAGACTAGGAAAAACTATTTGCAGTGTGCTTTGATCTCACACTCAAAACAGTGACGTTTGTTCAAAATACTTATTTAAAATGAGCTAAAACAACACAATTCTCAAAATGTTTTGGGACAACTTATTCCTTTTATGTTCAATCTACTTAAACTTATAACAACTAATAAGTTAATTTAATTCCTTCAAGTTGTCCCAGCTCAAATCGATTGTGTGGATCCCAGCATTTTTCACAGTGCTTGAGAATGTCTGGCTATTTATTCTCAAATAAAGAACCCTAAGAGACATTTCCAGCCCACAGGGAACGCAGAGTGAATTGTCCATGCATGTCCCTGGAAAAAGTTGGTGCTCATTTTGGAAACACTTACACACACACCCAAACTCTGGATCCACAAACACGCATTCATAACTTATTTCCGTATATTGAAAAGAGTGAGCTGTGTTTTCCAGCAGTGGCTTGCAGTGGAAAGTTAAATGTGTAAAGGATTACGGTGTGTTTAAGAGCTGAATACACTGGTGATTTATCAAGCACAACATATTCTATGGTTTTTGTTGAATCCTGACAAGGATTTGAGGTAATGAGCATTTGCCTCGCAGCCTATTCGAAACACTCCCTACTTACCTATCATATTATCTTATTTTCAATCGGAATATTCAGGTAAATGTGTTCCAGGGAGATTTGTTTTACTTGTGCCAACTTAAGAGTCTTCATTAGCAGCTGAAACAAACTGGCTATGTTGGATTGAACGTTCAACTATTGCACAGATGGCTTGGCAAGAGATGGATTTTGACTATGTAATAAGTCTCACATGTTGCGCAGGAGATGGAAAATGCCTTGTGGCACCACAATTGCAACACAATTCGTCTTTTTGGGAGCTTCATTTTCATAAATATGACAGAAATACTTGTGTGCTTGCCATTAATAGGGGGAAAAGGCCACATTTAAAAAAACACTGGGATCCACATAATCGATTTGAGTTGGGACAACATGAAGGAATCAAGTTAGCTTATCAGTTTTAACAAATTTAAGTTGATTTTAATGTAAAGCAATTAAGTTGTCCCCAAATAAACTTAAGAATTGTGTTGTTTCAGCTCATTTTAAGTAGTTTGAACAAACAGCAAACGTCATTTTTTTTTGAGTGCAGGACAAAAAGTCATGACAACAAATGTTTTTAGGTTACTTTAACTTCTCAATAAGTTAATTAAACTACATTTTTTCAGTTATACAAAGTTTAACTTCATATTTTAAGTTTGTTTGACTGATGCAAGTTTAAACTGCTACACAAGTTGACTCAATTCAACTAAAAATGGAAGGCAGCAATCAATTCTTTTACAGTGTAGAGGCATTGTTCAATGCTTTGTTGGTTAATCGATGCATGCGTTTGACGTTGTTCAGAAGATATTTTCATTTAATTAAATTCTAAAGAGATTTTATTGGTTTAATCGATGCATCCAATTAAAACATTTCCATTTAAAGAGATTTTATACCTGAATTCTTACCTTGAGAACGTCGAAGAACTTCAAATGAGGATGAATCTGAACCACTTTCTCCAGCTGGGACGTTTTGCCATTCAAGGATGTACCTTAGAAGGAACGCTTTTTGTCCAAAGTATAGCACCAAGTAAAAAGTTTCAAGTTCTAAAGCGTTCCAAGATCTTGCTCTGATCTTCTATTTCTTGCAGCAAAATCAGCTCTGAGGCAAGCCCACAAGTACTGCCTCCTTTCCCTGCCTACACCTCTTCAAATACTGCCTGACGCAGGAGCAGGGGAGAGCCTGGGACGGCTGCTTGCTTTTAGGCGAGTGATGACAATGGGTTTAAACCAGGGTGGGGACGAGGGAGTAAAGGGGGGCGCATCAATGCAAAAGGTGGAGTCAAGCGTTTTTAGAAAGAGTCATTGATTTCCATAAAGTGCTGCCTGCAAAAGTGAGGGCGTGGCACTGCTCGTCTGTCAGCAGAGAGTGTAGCATTGGGGAAATGTGTATTGTGTTATGGTTTGTTTGGCTTTTGTTTGAACTGTTTGTAGAACAGATGCGCATGTGACTACTGATGCTGGCATGACAGAACACATTGGAGAGGCTTGGCAGGTCAACTCTTGTGGCTCTCTGAGGCATAGCTGATTAACCAATGCCATCTGCTGGCCGGATAGATCATTACATATACAGATGAAGTCACTAGCAACTTTCAAAACTGGTTGTTACATACAAGTATTTCCCATGTGTGTTTAACATTTTTATACACCATTATTAAGGGGGGGGGGGGGGCAACCTAATTGTTTTGTGTTGTGACAACATGAAGGGGTTATGTTGCATCGTTTACTTACTAATGCCCTCCACCCCTTCCAGGGAATGGGCCACCAAAGGTCGATCCTCAGAGGACATTCTTTCTACTTGTCTCCAGATGTAAACCATCTTTGTGATGTCTGCCTCGAGGACGCATCAGTGGGAGTTTCTTGGACGGCCTCTCTTCCGCGTCCCTTAGGGGTTCCATCTGAGAGCCTGTCTGGTGATGCTAGTTGGTGGTTTGCCCTATCCAATCCCATCTTCTTCTCTTCCAGATTTCTGCTTCTATTGGAGGATGACAGGTCCTTCCCTTTAGGTCGGTGATTCTGATCTTTTCGGGCCAGCAAATGAAGAGAATCTTTTTGAGATAGGTGTTGATGAACGTCTGGATTCCTAGGGTGATGGTTTTGGTTATCCTTCGGGTTTCAACCCCACAACATTACTGACTTCACTATGGAGTTGAACAGACAGGTCTTGGTGGTCAAAGTAAGTTCTTTAGTCTTTACCATGATGATAGTACATACAATTTTTTGGTTATTTTGCAAGATAGTTCACTCAAAAAATTACGTTTGATGTTCATTCAAACTACTTATTTAAAATAAGCTGAAACAACACCATTCTGAGTTTTTTGGACAACGTAATTGTTTTATGTTCAATCTACATATATGTGTAAAAACACTTTAACTTAATAATTTGTGTTGTGACAACTTTTACCTACTTATACCCACCACCCCTTTCAGAGTATGGGCCACCAAAGGTCGATCTCCAGAGGTTTCTGTCCAGGGCCATTCTTTCTACTTGTCTCCAGATGTAACCCATCTCTGCGATGTCTGCCTTGAGGTTGCGTCGCCAGGTATTATGGACAGGGTCTCTTCCGCTTCCCTTAAGGGTTCTGAGAGCTTGACTAGTTGGTGGTTTGCGTAGGGTGTGCCCTATCCAATCCCGTCTTCTCTTCCAGATTTCTGTGATTTTGTTTATATTGGAGGTTGACAGGTCCTTCCCCATCGATCGATGTTACTGATCGTGTCGGGCCATCGAATGTGAAGAATCTTTCTAAACCAGGTGTTGATGAACATCTGGATTCTTCGGGTTGTGGTTTTGGTTATCCTCCAGGTTTCAACTCTGTACAACATTACTGACTTCACAATGGAGTTGAACAGACGGTCAAAGTAAGTAGTTCTTTAGTGTTTGGCATGATGATAGTACTTACAAATTTTTCGTTATTTTGCAAGATAGTTCACTCAAAAATGACGTTTGCTAATTGTTTAAAATGAGCTGAAAAAAACAAAATTCTTGAGGGTTTTTTTTGCAATAACTTAGTAGTTTTTACAAATTTAAGTGAATTGAACAAAACGGTTAAGTTAATGCCTTCATGTTATCCCAACACAAATTGATAGTGCAAGTTAGGTTAATTAGGCAAGTCGTTGGACAACAGTAGTTTAATTTGTAAAATTTCTTAAGGGTTATTTTTATTTAGTTTAGTTATTTCTCAACTAAAACAAACAAAAAATACTTTCTCTAGAAAAAATAAATAAATAAATATATCTCATAAACTTGTCGGCTTATTATCCCTTTATTAACTCGGGGTCGCCACAACAGAATGAACCACCAACGTATCTAGCAAGTTTTTACACAGCGGATGCCCTTCCGGCCGCAACCCATCCTTGGGAAACATCCACACAGACATTCACACACACACACTCATGCACTACGGACAATTTAGCCTACCCAATTCACCTGTACCACATGTCTTTAGACTGTGGGGGAAACCGGAGCACCCGGAGGAAACCCACGCGAACGCAGGGAGAACATGCAAACTCCACACAGAAACGTCAACTGAGCCGAGGCTCGAACCAGCGACGTTCTTGCTGTGAGGCGACAGCACTACCTACTGCGCCACTTATATAAATATATAATAATATCAAAATATATATATGGAAATACCAGCCTGATTTCACAAGGAAACGCAACTATTTTACGTTTTGTCAGATTAGTGGCTAATTCGTAGTTCGAGTTCAATTGTACAAAAATGTACGATTTTTTTTAAAGGTGGCATTGGCACACAACCCCACCTCTACACCCAACCGTCATTGGGAGATAAGCAAATCGTACAAATGAGATTGTACGAATTCATACGGATAAGCCACTAAATCAAAAAGTTATGATTTGCTTTGAGATTATTTGTTGAAAATACTGTAAAAATGTCCTTAGCACCATTTGACATCACTTAGGAAATATTTTAAAAAGAATAACAATTTTACAGGAGGGATAATAAATTTGACATCAACTCTACAGTCAATCCAGTCAAAAACAATCAAGTCCAACGGCAATCAAAAACAAATGGGGTTGTTTCATAAAAGAAGCAAGGTTTAATTTACAGTTTTACTAAATGTACAGTTTTTTAAAAAGTGTCATTATACACAATAAATACAATACAAAATTAATCTGTAGTACTATACTTCAAATTCTTACAGTTCTATTTTCTTTTTTCTCTTTACATTATTATTGTTCTTTTCGTCTGTGTCATTGCTTTTCGCTGTGTTTGCTTCTGAATGGTTCCAAGTCTTTCAGTGATCCTATCTTAAATTTGAACGAGTGTCTGCACATACATATGCAAAAACAAAACATAAATGAGGGATATCGCACTCTGCACTTCAGAGATGAAAAATGGCTGTTCTCACGAAGAAAAAAGAAATCATCTATTATAAGGGCGACCCAAATTTGCTGCGCTATGATTGTAAGTTTGATTTGTAAATGTGCTCTTGATACTGGAATGCTTTAAAGGTCAACGGATTTCCTAGAGTTTGGGTGATTTGTCTACTTGTGAATGCATCATTGTTAATTCCTTTAGTCAAACAACCAAAGACAACAAATCATGCTTTCAGGGCGCTACACTATAATGCTATGATCCATAATGATCAATAAATCATAATATAGGGGACCATTTTAACAAAGGGATCCATTGGTCTCTCTAAAATAACTGTTTGATATGACAAATTCATGATATCACTTAAAGTTCCTGCAATCTGCATCCGTCACTGTGATTATTACAAACATTACTAATTAAATGAAAGGTCATGTCTTCTCACAATTTGAGAAGAACTAAAATAACTGGGATATGGACGTTGGAACTGGCCTAGCTTCGCACCCAGGATGGAAATAAAAAGTGACAAAAATCTGAAAATCATATCAAAGTGCACTTTTTATACTTAGAAAGTACACTTAAAGGGCCATATGTAAACCAAAAGAACACGTTTGATCAGCACGAACCACAGACAAACAAAGCAAACACAGCTGAACATGGGAAAATGTCTCCATTTTCTTCCCCCTATGCACTGACATCCTGCTTTTTCAGTCTTTCAGTCGACGTGGGCTGAAGGGGCTGTTATCTACTGTGCGTCTGTGAAACCAGATTTCCATTCTGCCCTCGCCCTCCTACCTGTGAATGCTGGGACATGGGGGCGGACGAGGGCTGTGTTGAGAGGGGAGGCATGGACTGTCTGTAGGAGGGATGGGTTTGGTGCTGGTTAGGCAGGTTTGCCCCATGAACCCTCCCTAAATCCCCTCTCCCTGAGCCTCCGTGTCCAGGAGGGCCCTGTTGGAGGTTTAGTATACTGTCTATGGCACACTGCAGGTGCTCATTTAGCGAGTCGTCAGGCGGCGGGCTGCCGCTGGAGAAGCTTGCATTGTCCATGTCCGGAGAGTCCGACTTGCAGCGTTTGGCAGGAAGTGACGAGTCTCTTGTGCAGGAAGACTCTCCGGGAGAGGGCGGCCCTGGGGCATGCTGATCCATCCTGAAGGCGCCCCGTCCCCCTTCCCGGTGTTTGCTTCCTATGCCCTTTAACCGCCCCAAAGCACCACCACCACCACCACCTTCCTCCATATCATCCTCATCGTCTTTATCAAACTCCCGATGATGTTGGTACGCGTTTTTTATTCCCCGATAAAGGACGTCTTCAACGGCTGCCAGGCTTTGTGACTCCGCATGGGGGTGAGATCGCCCGTGTCCACCTTGCCGCTCCAGTTTCACACTGGCTATCACAGTTCGTTCGGGTTGAGGGGACGAGCTTTGCGGTTGGGGCGAAGAGGTAACAGGAGGTCCTGCAGGCAGAATGGGTAGTGTATCTCCACCACCTCCTGGTACTCCAGGCCTGTGACGGGGACTGATGTTCTCACGGTATGTCTTTCGGAGCGGGAGCCTGCACGTTGTTAGTGGTGGCGTTGCTGTGGACGCTGGGTTACGTTTGACCCCACCTACCTCATGGTGCTCCAGGGTGCCGTTCATCTGCGCGGTCGACGTAGAAGGTGACGATGAAGACCAGGTGGAGAATGAAGACGATGCCCCGCTCGAGGAAGTTGCGCTACTGGAGGCGGAGGCTGTGTGTGTGGTTACTGTGGTGACAGTGGAGGAGGAGGTGGATTGAGAGGTTGTGGGTTGAGTTCTAATGACGGTGGAGGGAAGAGTTACGTGTGGCTTTACTTTCTGCGGCTGCTCGGGGGTGGGCGTCTGT